TTTCCACTGCTCCCACTAACTACAAAACCCTCTGGTTGCGTCATATATATGCACTCTTCTAAATCACCATTTAGAAATGCAGTTTTAACGTCCATTTGCCAGATCTCATAGTCATAGTGAGCAGCTATAGCAAGTAGGATCCGAATAGACTTGAGCATAGCCACTGGAGAAAAAGTTTCATCGTAGTCCAAACCAGGTCTTTGACGAAAACCTTTAGCTACCAGTCTAGCTTTAAAAGTCTCTACTTTTCCATCTACACCCAACTTTTTCTTAAACAACCATTTGCAACCTATGGGTATCACCCCTTTAGGAGCATTGTCTAATATCCATACTTTGTTGGTGTACATAGAGTCTATTTCAGATTTCATTGCATCATGCCAAGCAACAGAGTCCCTACTCTCAGAGGCTTGCTGATAACTTAAAGGTTCGTCATCATCTATGACGTGATCTAACATGCCACCTTCAACTAAAAAATTATATTGTGTCTTAGGTGCATGAGATCGCCTTGGATATCTGTGGAGTGGTTGAGGTTCTTCTGGTATAACTGAATTTGCTGGTTCCACTAATTTATCAGTAATATTTTGTATCTCTGAAATTTCTTCCAGTTCTACCATGCTCCCACTAATTTCTTTTTCAAGAAATTCCTTCTCTAAGAAGGTGGCATGCCGAGAAACAATTATCTTTTGTTCATCGATGTGGTAGAATTGATATCCAATGGAATTCCTTGGATATCCTACAAATTTGCATAATACTGAGCGTGCCTCTAACTTTTTGGGATCTTGCTTCTTTACATAAGCATGACATCCCCAAATCTTAATATAATTAAGATGTGGTTTCTTCCCACTCCATATCTCATATGGAGGTTTAGGCACTGCTTTAGTTGGAACCCTATTCAGTAAGTGTGTTGCTGTTTCTAATGCATACCCCCAGAATGAAAAAGGTAACTCAGTGTTACTCATCATGGAACGTACCATATCTAATAGGGTACGATTCCTTCTTTCTGACACGCCGTTAAGCTGTGGTGTAAAGGGTGGAGTAACCTGAGAGAGAATCCCATTCTCTTTTAAAATACCTAAGAATTCCGAGCTCAAGTATTCACCTCCTCGATCCGATCGAAGAATTTTAACTTTCTTGCCCGTTTGGTTCTCTACTTCATTTTTGTACTCGATAAATTTCTCAAGTGCTTCAGATTTGTGTTTCATCAAAAACACATGTCCAAACCTTGAAAAATCATCAGTAAAAGTAATAAAGTAGGAGTAGCCACCTCTGGCCATTGTAGACATAGGACCACATACATCACTATGTATCAGTCCTAAGAGTTCTGTAACTCTTACTCCAGTTCCTGTAAATGGAGTCTTGGTCATTTTACCTTTAAGACAAGACTTGCAAGTCTCATAAGACTCAAAGTCAAATGGATCTAAATATCCATGCTTATGAAGCTCGCCAAGTCTTTCTTTATTAATGTGACCAAGTCTGCAATGCCATAAGAAAGCGTCATTCATAACTGAGTGCTTTCTTTTATTAGTGTGATAAGTGTTCAGAATTGTATTTTGATTAAGAATATAGATGCCATTGCACAATGTTCCATAAGCAATCAACTTTTGATTAAATATGATATTCATAACATTGTTCTCCAACTTAAATACATATCCATCTTTATCTAATAAAGATATGGATATTATATTACACATCATAGTTGGTACAAAATAGCAGCTATTTAAAATCAAAACGTTTCCATTTGGTAAAGCTAGATGAAAATCCCCTACTGCAAGTGCTGCAACTATTGCACCATTACCAACTTGCATAGTCATCTCTCCAGCTCCAAGTTTTCTATAACTTTTAAGTCCCTGTAACAAATTACAGATGTGAGATCCTGATCCGGTATCTAATACCCAGGATGTATGATTTATAGAAAAACAATTCTGAGTAACAAACACACCTGTAGATGAAGCAACAACTTGCTTATTCTTGGTGAGTGAGGCTAGGTATTCTGGGCAGTTCCTTTTCCAATGTCCTGACTTATGACAATGGAAGCATTCTGCTGTCATCATTTTTGCCTTTCCTTTATCCTTCTTGACAGCCTTCTTAACACCTTTCCTTGGTTTAGTAGTTTTCTTCATTCCTTTTTTCTTAGCAACCAATTTGCCAGAAGAGGAAGAAGATTGCCCTATAGCCAAGACTGGTGTTTGTCCCTTTTTCAAAGAACTTTCTTCCTGTCTTAACAAATTAAGCAAGGCAGGAAGAGTGGGCTCCAGATCCATCATCAAAAACTGTGATATGAATCGGGAGTATGCTGGTGTCAAGGACTGCAGAATGATATCTGTATATCTATCTGCATCTAGGCCTACGTTCAAAAGTTCAAGCTCATTGACATAGGCGATCATTTTGAGGACATGATCCCCAACAGAAGATCCCACAGTCATTTTCGTCTGGAACAGATTCCTAGACGCCGCGTACTTCATTTGTCGCGGTTGCTCGCCATACAGTTCTTCTGTATTACGAAATATGGATCTGATATCCATATTCTCATGTTGTCTCTGATGGACCAAATCCATAGAGGCAATGGTGAGGCATTGAGCAAGTGAACAATCTTTATCCCATGTATTGCGGATTTCAGTTTCCGCTATAGTGGGTTCTAGGCCTAGAACAGGTTCGGGCGCAGTGAGGACATATGCTACTTTGTCATAAGTTAGGGCAATTTTAACATTCCTCAACCAGTCTTTGTAATTAGGACCGGTTAACTTGTTCTGTTCCAATATGAGTTTTAAACCAGACATAATGGCCTGTTTTTTACGATCCGCTCCGTTGAACTTGATCTACACATTCTTAAACCCAAACACACCAATTTTTGGGTGAATCCATCGTGTTTTTACCTTTCGTTGAGCCATGCAAAAAGTCCTATTCATTCGAAACCATTAAATATATGGCGAGTGGATAAAGGGTCAAAACACGACGGGTTCACCCCAAAATTGGTGTGTTTGGGTTTAAGAATATGTAGATCAAATTCAACGGAGCGGGTCGTAAAAAAAAGTTAGGGAATGATGTGATTTTAGGCCGCATCCTTAGGTGAGAGTCTAGGGTGTCACCTTAGATACACTTTTCCCATATATATATAGTAATGTTTTCCTTAGGTGATACTTTAGATTCCCACCTAAGGACGCGGCCTAAAATCACATCATTCCCTAAAAAATTTTTACGATCCGCTCCGTTGAACTTGATCTACACATTCTTAAACCCAAACACATTAATTTTGGGGTGAACCCGTCGTGTTTTGACCCTTTATTGAGCCGTGCAAAAAGTTCTATTCATTCGAAACCGTTAAAATTACGGTGAGTGGATATATTTCTTGCTTATAATTAAGAGGAATTTTTTTTATCTCAAGTAAAATTTAAGGTTTAATTAACTTAAATCTTTTGGTTAGGTCTGATTCTTACCTTCAATTAAGACTTATTTTCTTTGATTAGAGAATCTCGATTATCCCCCAACATTTTTTTGATCGCCAAATTGCACAGATGCTTGGTATGAATCAAACGATAATGTTATCTGCTAATTAACTTCTACGATTTTGCTACGATATCTTAATGATTCATTTCACTAGACTTCAGCGCTACAGTATCGTTAGCATTAATCGGACGAAGTTAATAGTAGTCTTATTTGTCTAACGAATTTGGATCTTCTCAACTACCGAGCAAACAAAATTTTTAAAGATGAGGATGCAACAAAAAAAAATGTAGCTTTTTACGTTATTCTTTAAAAAACCATCGGTGTATATTGGCTTATGTTCATCAAGTAGTGTTAGCATATAATCTAGATTCAATGCATCCTGTAACACCTCCTCTTAAAATTACACATACGACATAGTGGGTACATAAAACTCGTGCAAATGTGATCAATTGCGTTATGATCACTATCGTTTTGTACTCAAAATAACCTCGTCACTAGTTCACGTGACGAAATAATGAGATTAGCTCGCAGTGTTATCCATCATTCTCACAAAAACCAGGAGGGGCTGCTCTTTGGTTTGCCCTCAACTAGTCATCTCTTTTTCCAAGTTTATGATTCGGTGCTCGTGAGATCAATTTTTAAAATGTGGACTGTGCTGTATTTTTACTACTATTTCATACTATTACTTTAATGATAAGATGAACCATTTTAACTCATCATGTTCATATCTAATAACCTTACCTTAACTAATTCCTTAAATACACGTACTGTGGCTTTACTTTTTATATAATAACCTCATCAAAGTCCCTTGAGCTTCTTCCGACCAATTTCCTTGAACTTGGGATGTCTCACAAAACCTCCTAAACTTTCAGATTTTCCCACAGATCTTACTAATTATATCGACGCATTAAAAGTTAGGAGCAGAGCCACATTTGGTTCAAGTTGGGCAAGTGATCAACCTAAAAATTAGGGAAGTTTTTAGCTAATAGGTTAAAATCACCATTTACTTGCCAAGTTAACTATCAATTACAACGGATTCGGATCCTCTCCAAGTAGGTGTGTGCTTTCCAACTTAGGGGTACGTGATTAAGACATATATAAGATTTCTATCATTACGGAATAGTGGTTTTGTCACTATTGTCATGAAAGCCACTATTTTGAAAATCACTCTTGCAATGATGAAAGTCCTACGTGATGTAAAATGATTAGAATTTGGAGAATTGGATCCTCTCCAATTACCACCTAGCTACACTAGTAAAAATTCACGTATCCTAGACAGAATATTCTAGACGGAAATTTTTCCGTCTAGAATGTATTAAACTAGACGGAAAATTTTCGTCTAGAATATTCCGTCTAGGATAAAATATTCTAGACGGAAATTTCCGTCTAGAATAGTATTCTAGACGGAAATTTTATTTTTAATTTTTTTTTAAAAAAATCCTGACATCCTAGACGGAAATTTCCGTCTAGAATGTATTCTAGACGGAAATTTCCGTCTAGAATACTTTCCCATTTCAAAGAAAATTAAACCCTCAAAACCCAGCCGCCCCTTTCCCCTCAAAATTTCGCCGCCCCAATTTCCCCCCAAAATCGAAAATTTCAGGAAAATCCATCAAACCCCTCCTCTCCCCAAACCCAAACCCCAACCCCAACATCCTCCTCTTGTTCCGTTCCATCTCCTCCCTGAGCCCGTCCCAAAACCCTAGCAGCCTTAGCGGCCCCCCTCCCTCGACCTCCGCCGGGTTCAGCACCGACGACCAACTCTTCCTCCTCCGACGACTCTTCTGGCTTTTTTTTGAGGTTTTCTCCCCCTTGTCGCCTGATCGCTGAGATTCCTCCTCCATTTGAGGAGGAGGAGGACAGGAAGGAGTCGGGGAGCGCGAATTTTGAGCGAGGGCCTTTTGGAGCCTGGAATTCGAAGGTAGGGTTTTGTTTAGTTTCTCTGGTTATTGATGGATGTTTGATTTTGATCGTAATTCATGTGCAGTGAAATCTTAACTAGTTCAGTTCACATGCCGGAGCCTCGAGGATTGGTTTCGCCTTCGATTTCGTCTTCGACTTCTCGATCTCTGCACTCTATCTCTGTTATTGAAATTGTTTCATATGCTCACTGCTGTTATTACATTTGTGGAGTTCCTTGCAGTGTCAGTCATTTGTTCCCTATATATGAGATTTATTGTATAGAAAAAAAATTATGTTTATAGTTCTGATATTGTATATCTTGTTGTATATGCTCCACCAAGCTGGAGGTGTGTAACATGCTAGCAATTACTCTGGATATGGCATTGCAGGTTATTCTCTTGGACACTAGATACCATAGGGATCCATTTTTCAGCGATGGAAGTATATTGGGTGAGACACAATGGGAGTGGTTACAACAGGAATTGAGTGGTGCTGGATCAGAGATTACCATTATAGCATCTTCTATTCAGGTAATGGGAGAATGCATATTCCTTTCTAATGCACTTGCTTGTTAGAAACTCATATTATCTATAGAACAAACCTTACTTAGTATCCAAAAGTGATGAATGATGTGACAGTTGTGCTTCTGAAGATACTTTGTTATAGAACTATTTTGGTGCAGAAGTAATTAAGCATAGCTGCATAGCCATGACTGGTGCATAAAAAATTAAACATGGTCCTTTTGGCATTTGCATAGCCAAGTTGGAGAGGATCTATATCCTAATTGCATCTCATAATAAGTGTGTGTGTCCCTTTTGGAGTTTTGTTGTGCCTATTACCCAAAATTATCATCCAACCTTAATATTAACTCAACCATTCAAGAGATCCTCATCTCAATTAAGTAAGAGCTAAAGCAAACTAAAGTCATTCTAAGGTCAGCTCTCCGTCACCCAAATCAATTATACACCTACATTTGAAAGAAAAATGTTGGTACAAACTATTACCTATTATCTCCTCTTATACAATTAATCTCCATCATCAATCTAGTCTGTTCGGCTAAGTTCTCAGATTTTTCTCTTAAATTGTAATTAAACTTCTGACAAATGCTTATTAATCTCATTTAAAGATATGCTAAATTTTTTTAGTGTAATTTGCTTCATAATTGTCATCTTAAAACTATGTTGTTCAATTAACTATTTATCTTACCAAACATATCATGCTTTTGTTTTCTTAATTCATTTAGATAACCCATCGGGGAAAAAATCATTAAGATATGAACAAATTTAATGCACTGGCTTAAATGAATTCGATAATATCGATACGAACGCAATTATTTGACGGTTTCAAGCAACAAGCTACATCAATACCAGTTATAGGATACCATTTTTTTTTCTTTTTTGGAAAAATATCTAGAGTGAGAGTGTGAGTGTGAAACTTCTTGTCTATATATATTAAGTTGTGTTATGAAACTTCATTAATGCTCTTTTATGTGACGTGATATATTTAATTTTTAAAAATTATGCTCGTAATTTTTGTGCCATATTTGATCGAAATCCTGGCTCCATTCCTGTGAAAAGC